TAGAAGTGGGGTGACAAATAGTAAAGTGTGTAAGTGAAGCTAGCAATTGGGCCTATAGTGGGCATAGGCTAATTTTTACATATTGGTCTTGTTTTACTCCATTTAATCCAAGGAATTAATTTATCTAGGTCTCACCCTCATTAGGTGAACCTAACTAGACCAATTCCAACATTTTTGGATTGGATTAACTAAAGGAAAACAAGATGGCCGCCTAACTTTTCTAGCTTCTCCCACACACTTGGTTAGTTTATGCTACAAGCTTCTAGCTTGGCTTGCTCCACAAGCATTGAAACTTAGCTTATTCCACAAGCTTCCAACTTACTAGACTGGTTAGCTTAGTGTAAGAAGGCTAACCATGGTTCTCCGTGAACCATAGTTAGCCTAGCTTGCACCACAAGCCATCTCCTCACTATCCTTCTCTTTCTAAACACACTTTTTGATGATTTTATGAGAGAATTCCAAAATTTCTTTTGAATTTTCTCTCTTCCAAAAGTTCTAAACCTCTTTGATATTAATTCATTCCTTTTATCCTCTTTAAGAAAAAGTGTGGTGAGAATTGAAGTGGCTAATCTTCCTCCAAGGAGTAGCACCACTTGAGAGTGTTCTTCACCATTTTTGGTGAACTCTAAAGCCTTCTCCTCCATTAAAGACTTTGGAAAAGCTTAAGGAGAAACAAAGTGCCAAAGATCTAAGGAGGAGCTTGGAGAGGAATCACATCAATCTAGTTTTTACTCAAAGTTCTCCATCACCATCAACCCAACAATGATAGATGCTTTGCTCTACTAGAATAAGCCTAACCTAACCACCGGAAGAGACTTCAAGAAATTCCTTCAACAGGAAAACTTGAAGCCAGTCTATTGGGTGCTCCATTACCTACTCTTCAATGTCTTCTTCCCTCGCACTAGGTTGTAGGACCATGTCACAAACATTGACAAATTTTGCCTTTACAAGATTTCAGTTAGAGATAAGATAAATCTACCTGACCTCGTCTATCTCCACTAGAAGACTTGTTTAACATAGAGGAATCACGACCATATGAAGAGAGCCCTAATTCTTTATGCCATGCACTTCACCAAAATCCCTGAACATCATGGAGTGGATTTGGCTAGTTGGCTACAAGATACGTCCAGATAGTGGTGAGGTCAATACCATCACCCTCAAGCGAATGGGAATTTCTTATCTTTTCACTCAAGTTAAGGGCAAACCAGGAGTATAGTTGCCATAAAAGAAACCTCAGATCGCTTCTTCTTCCATCATCATTAAAGAATATACCCCACCCTAGCCAAAACCCAAATCACCATCATCCACTTCTTTTTTGACCCACCTTAACCACCACCTAAAGCCTGAATGTCAACCACCTCACCGACGTGTCCCCAAAACTCTCCAAATCTCTAACACCCCCTTAGACGATGAGGAACCCCTTCTCAAACGCAAGACACCACCTTTGTCTACCACTATTCAAGCTTTTCTCCCTCAACCAACCAAACCATTTTCTACAACTACCATTTCCATACATCCATCTACCGTAACTCAGCTCTCTTAACCTACACCCAAACCACCAACTCCAACTCCCCAACCTACTCCCCAACCTAACCGTTAGCCCAAGAGGAGATGTCTGGTCTGAGGCTTCAAGCCTCATACAAAGGAAGATAGAGTAGTGAAGAAGATAAAGTTTTTCTATGTTGCTAAAGCTCAATAGTAGGAAGTCATTAGTCTAACCTTCTTTTCTCCTAAAGCGATCTCTATGCAAGTCGTCCTCTCTTGAGGTTAAAGGAAAAACTTCATCTTCCTTGTCATAAGAAGAGCCCAATTCATCTATCGTGGTTGTATATTAGGTATAGAACATGGAGGAACCTCCAAAGGTTCTTTAGGAATCGCCTACTCAGCCAGAGTTTGTAGAATTGACTTAGAAGAAGTCATCATCTTTAGACGGGTCCTTGCAGATTTTCTCATTCTAGCTGTTAAGGAGGAACCCTCGAAGGTAGAAGCTAATACAATATTGTCTGGTGCATAGATGACCAACCCAGATGGCCCAATCATTGAATACTAGGTTTTAGATAAGGAGACGAATCCTTCTATGGCCAATGAAGTTGAAGTAAGGCCTATAGTTGGATTATATCATTAAGGCCTATAGTTCATCTGGCACCACAGTTTTTGACTCTTGTGAAACTTGTGTATGACAATGATCTATTATTGTCAATCGAGGTGTTTTCTGTTACTCCCTCAACTTTGATAGCTCCATGGTCCAACCACTATGCATCAGACAAAGGACAACACAAACTGAAAGACACTCCAGACAGAAACAATGTCTATCTATTCACATTGTTGACCAGATCAAAGAAAAAGAAAAGCATTAAACTCAAACACTGAGACGAAAGTCAAGATTGAGATGCAGAAAACCAACAAACGAAGACGAAGACTACCACTCAAGCAATTAAAGAATCAAGTCTCAAGAGACAAACCAAGGCATCGTCTACAACCACATAGAAGCTCTCAATGTAAAATACATGATCTAAATGAAGAAACGAAGAAGAAGAGAAGCACGCAAAAGCAAAAGCATGCATGTGTCAGAAAAAGGTGCATTACTTTTTTAGAAAAGGACAACGGCTACATTGCTACATGACCAGAAAAAGACAAATCATTTCTAGGTCTCAGATAAAGTCAAACACTGCTGGCAACAGGACAAAGAAGAATACACGCAATTTCTAAAAACAGGAAGCAACATTTAATGCAAGACCAAATGCATTAAATGAAAGGATCAAACTAGTCATGAACGACTATATCAGCTTCAACGGACATATGCAACGGGAAAATTTTACAGGCCTATAAGTATGAAATTACCTCAAACCGAAAAAGGTTGGCAAGAAGCAACGAAAGAGTGATCATAGGCATTGCCCTGGGCTATAAGCATTAAGCACCAAAAGTAATATCAAGCCCAAAAGAAAAACAGAGAAATCAGAGATCGATTCTTCATAGTCAAATCTACAATGTATCATTGTATTCATCTCTGTAGTCTAAGGTGTTCCAAGTGTATCTTAGGAAGGAAACCTTAGTGAGTGTTATAACCTTATGTATCCTCTTTGTAAAGATTAACCCACACACTCAGAATCTCTCTAGGACTAAGGTAGTGAAACCTTAGAGATGGTAGATCATATATGTATCCTCTCTGTGAGAGTAACCCAAACACTCAAACCTGATTATATGTCTATCATCTGTAAAGCTTGAAGCTAGGGAAAATTTAGAGCTTACCAGTAAAAGAATTTGGACAAAAAAACTCAACCCAACTATTGAGTTATTCTTAATATTATAACACCTCATATGCTTGGCCAACGAAACTCACGCCTCATAAAAAATAAAAATAAATAAATAATACTTCAATCGGTACCAAAGTCCATACACACTTTTATAATTTTATACTTTTGTCTCCTTCACTTTGTTAGGCTTAGTGTTTAAGTGCAAGCATGCTACAACTACTCATGTTGCATGGTAATGAATATAAGACTGATTTAATTTTTTCAACATTTGATTTTTTTAATTTTTATTTTTTAAATAATAAATCTGATGATTTGATCATGCTATGATTGGTTCAGTGCGAATTGCCAAAAAAATAATAATAATAATAAGAGAAATCCAATCCAATTACATTTAATCGGATCAAATTAAAAAAAATAGCACAAAAACAATTCAAATTGATCCATATTCATCCCTACTTAAATTACATTAAAAGAAATACTTAAATTTTAAATTTAACTATAAATTGAAGTTTGAATACAGATTTATGAGAACTTCAAATCACTTGATTCATATTTTCTTTTTTAACTTTGTGCAACATAAATATTTTTAAAAAAAATAAAGAAAATATAAACATAAAAATGATAAAACAATTCAATATGTAACGATAAATTATAATCAATCTGGATAAAAAAAATTATAATCAATCAATTTTATAAAAACTATCTCTATATTAAGGTTTTAAAATTACAAAAGAGAACATATATGTCGATTTAAATATTTATTTACGTAATACATAAAATTAATTTAATTTTACATTAACATATTATACTTATTGATGTGTTATATCGATAAAAATTTCTCTCACAACATATTTAAAAGTTTTGCGTTATTTTAATTTATGTATTATTTATTGTATAAAACAATAATTATTTGGTATTTATAAAAAATATTACTTAAATCCTTCATTAATTAAAAATATCACCGATCTATATCTTTAGTCATATAAATATAGTTCTTATGTTCAAACTTGTTGTCATTGCAATTCAATGTAATATTGTTATTTTAATTAAAGTTATATTATTTTAAACCTAAAGTCTTGTGCTATGTATCAAAGAAAATTTTCACATGCTTTGTTTGGAAGAAATATTTCATTTAAAATATTTTAAAAGAAATTAAAAATAATTACACAAAAGTTGAGGAAACTTGATGTTGAAAATGTTTGTAAATATGACATAAATATAGAGTAGTTGAAATGTTTATAATATACAAATATATAAGGTAATTGGTCAAATCGAACCATTCTATTAAAACAGTTCGGTTAATTTGACCCTTTTTATAAAATAAATCGGTTTAATTTTTTCTAAAAATGACTCAATTTCTTTTGTGCAATACATTCATCTGCTTTATACTTATATATGATTCGATTTTTTTAAGAAAAAAACCAAACTTAACCAAACAATTTTTAAAAAGTGGTTCAGTTTTTTTCTCCTTTTTCTCAAAATAGTTCGATTTTTATAATTCAATTTGATTTGGTTTTTAATCGGTTCTATTCGATTCAATTTTTTTTACTTTTGCAAACGCCTAGTAATTGGATGAATAGTTAGGAAATGGAAGACAAATATGTAATTTTACTTTGATGAATAGTATTTCTAGGAGTTGTACAGCAGATTAATGTAACTAGCCAAGATTCAATTCAATCTTAAGTTTCAAATGAGCCAGGCTGCCGGCTATTATTTTTTAGCCTTCTTCCTCTAACATAAATTTATACTGTAAGCTTCGGAGGATATGGTGTGTCACTAGGGATGTTTAGGGCCTTATTACTTAAGTTTTTATTATTATTTCAATTTACAAAACTACCACCAATCTATTTCCTAATTTCAACGACTTCAAAAGATGTGCATAGCAAACACATAAAACAAAAAACTTAAAAACGTAAATCTATCTTTGAATTTTTTGCAGTCAAAAGGAAAGCAACTAACTCCAATAAAATAGGAATTAGGAAGGAAGAACCTTACATGCTCAACAAGTGGTGTATTGGTAGTGGCAGGAACAACACAATTGCTCCTTATGTTGTCTTTAGCCCATTCACAAGCCATATATTTTGTAAGCTGATTGATTGCGGCTGAAAATAATATTGGACAGGAAACATTTAGTGCCCTTGATCACACCAGCATTTTACTCATCACAAGCAGGTTATTAAAACAAATTAGCATGAACCTGATCTCTCACCTTTACATGCTGCATAGACGGATCCAGTACCTACACTGACCACACCAGCAATAGATGAAATGAACACAATGCTTCCCATTCCAGATGCCTTTAGAAGAGGATATGCAAGTTGGCACAGATGGTAAGCAGAGTCTAAATTGACTGCCATCATCTGTGAATAGTCTTCAGCATTGTACTCAATGGTTGGTTTCCTATAGTTTACACCAACATTGTTCACCTAAGTCAAGTTAGAATGAACATATAAAAACTTAGCCTCTCACAAATGTAATTCCCTATTCTTTTGAGTGAAAAAGGGAGTTAAGACTTAATATTAGTTAACTAACATAAATGTTAAGCTTGCCATTGAAGAGGGAAGTGACTTCCTGAATGAGCTTCTCTCTGTGGGGTTGAGATGACACATCACAGACAGACCCAGAAACCAAAAACCCCTCACTGCGCCATTTTGTCAAACACCTATCGAGCTCAGTTTGGTTTCTGGAACAAGTGTGGACAGTGGCACCAAACCCACATAACTCCTCCACTATGGCATGCCTGAAATCAAACACAATTTCATAGGTTAACATTAACACAAAAAGATCAAACTTTGATAACCAAAAAACAATTGGATTTCAAAGAAATAGAGGGACTGACCCTATTCCGCGAGTTCCACCGGTGACAAGAGCAGTCATTCCATTAAGGGACCATCTCGGAGGTTTGTGAGTATTGTTCTCTGCATCTGCCATTTCTTGAATCAAAACTCACAACACAACTAGGCATATCCTACCATTGCTTGATATGTATTGAGCTCTTAAAACAACAGTTAAATGCTTTTAAAACTGGATTGTTATTGGAATCAATAAATAGTTTCTTTGTGAACTCACATTTATCGTAATTTTCCAAATACCAAACCAAACACTTTATAAATAGTTTTTGTAAAGTTAATAAAATTAGATTTAAATATATTTTAATCTTTTAAATTTAAGTTAATTTTATTTTTAGTCTTTCAAATTTAAATTTATTCTTTTTAATTTTTATAATTTTAAAAAATCTTGTTTTGAACTTCTACTCAAATTTTATTGAAAAATTTGGTAATATTCATATAAAATTTACTTATTGATATTTTTATTAGTGAAAATATCATATTAAACTCAATTAATGTTATATATTTGTCTTATTCTATCATTTTCATATATGTTATTGATGATCTAATGACTAATTTTTTTTTAAAATTACATGAACTAAAAAATAACAATTTTAAATTTGAGGGATAAAAATAAATTTATCTTAAATTTAATAAAATAAAAACATATTTAAGTTATAGAATTATTATATATCATAATTTCTAATTGGATAATTTGCTAAGAAAAAATTATAGGATCGGTGTCAAGACTATTTTTTCTAATTAAAATGAGATCAAAAGAATAATAATTAAAGATGTCTAATTCTTAAGTCAAAAATATGCGAAATTAGATAATTTATGGGCTAATTAAAATTTTAATTTTATTAATTTCAATTAGAAATACTTTTATATTATATTATATTTTATTAGACTTTAATATTAAAAATAAAAATAAAAAATAGTTGAAAATTATAATGACTTATCATGATCTTTTGCACTTAGTAGTTTAACAATTAGTAATAGAAAAACAAGTCACAACTACTAAGATAAAGTTTTATTTAATTAAAAATATATTATTCAATTTTACTTATTCAGCTACTAAGATAACATGTTAAAAAAAATATTATTCAATTTTAATTATATATAGAGGGGGGTTATAATTATACCGGTGTAACTTTTACTAAGTATTAACACTGCTCAATAATTTTATATTAATTATAAATTTTGTAAATCCAACCGTTAGATTGAAAGTTCATATCTATTAGATCATATATACAAAATTTTATATTAATCCAAGATGATTTGATACTTCATTTTTATAAAACAAAATTGACATAATATATTTATTTCAAAATACACTAAAATATGAACACTTTGATTACCTTCAAATTGTTGTTCAATTTTAACAAAATTTGATATACACGTATAAAGTGATATAAACTTTCAATCTAACGATTAGATTTACAAAATTCACAATTAATATAAAGTTATTGAACAGTGTAATACTTAGTAAAAGTTACACTAGTATAATTATAACCCCTCTCTCTATATAGAGAGATTATAATTACACCGGTGTAACTTTTACTAAGTATTACACCACTCAATAACTTTATATTAAATGTGAATTTTGTAAATCCAACCGTTAGATTGAAAGTTTATATCTCTTAGATCATATATACAAAATTTTATATTAATCTAAGATTATTTGATACTTCATTTTTATAAAACAAAATTAACGTAATATATTCATTTAAAAATACACTAAAATATGAATATTTTGATTACCTTCAAATTGTTGTTTAATTTTAATTAGTTGAGCAGACCACCGAGGGGTCATTTGTTTCCCATGGTTGAGATGATATCCTCACAACGACCATAGGAAGGCCAGAGCACGCAGGCCGTGTGCGTGGTGTTGGTGGTTCTTGGAGCTACCGAGATTTCTTGGGTGCACGATCATCGAGGAGCACTGTTGACTCTTACAGTCAAGAGGCTATGCAGAGAATGGAGATGTAGTTTGAAAAGAAATTGAAGAACATTCGAGATGAGTTTGAATAGAAGTTTGAACTTTTGGCTCGTTTTTAGCAACAAACTGCAGTTGCTCATGATGGTGTTCGAGTCAGCACTAAAGGTAGTTGTGCTGTTCCAGATCCCTCAGTGGCCCAGACTCACACTGATGTACCAAACCAGTGTGAGTTATATGTTGAGGATGACCCCCCACGGTTAGTGGCTATTGGCCGAGTATTTGAGGGTGGCTCAACCATCCCTGGTGTCCCTCTACAACCAAACTGGACACAGGGTGTGGTTGACCAAGTTCAAGATGCTGCTGCTCCAGTGCCTTTGCCCAATACAGAGGTTCAACTAGTGGGGCAGGCAACTGGCACATTCTTAGCTTGGCCAAAATGTTTGGTTATGCCGCTTTCAGCACGGGCAAAGGTAATTCTATTATTGCTCTTTTATATTCTTATAATTTTATTATTGTTTAACTAATTTTGCTTATTTCTTTAGGATTTTATCAATCGTGGTAAGGAGGTCATGAGAGAACCTCATGTTGATCATGCTAATATCGCAGAAGCTGAGGATGATCCCATATCTACGCTTCTAACCATATTACCACGATTAAGGAAGAGACCAATTCAATTGCAGTGGGACATTAGAGTTTTTGGAGTTGATAGCTCTGATGTTCCACTGTACTTATATCTGCCTGATGCATTAGAGATTGTTGGGGGAAACTCCATGTTAAATATATCTATCATACAGCTGTGGGCCATGTAAGTCATATTTTCTTTTATGAGTCTAAATTTACAATAATTACATTTAACTTATAATAATTATTTGTGTTAGGTACATGGACAAATTGAGTGTGGAGCAAGCACAAGCACAAGTATATGGACTCATTGAGCCTTAATCCATCCAAAAATCAGGAAACACTCAGGTCCACATCCAACAATATATGCAAACATGGATGAGTGAATTAGGAAGAGTTATATACATCGCTCCATACATTGACGGGTTAGTTTTTTAATTGGTTTTTTAATCATGGTAATTTTATAACTAATTTGTTTGTCATACAATGTAGGTCTCATTGGCAGTTAATGGTAATCATTCCTAAGGAATACACCGTGGTGTGGTTTTGTTCACTACATCGAAAACCAAGCCACGAAATTAAATGCCAATTACAAGGGTAACTAAATTTTTTCATTATGTTTTAAAACTGTAATTATATATATTGGCTAACATTTGTTTTTATTTCAATTAATTAGAATCGTGTCTGGAGCTAATATTTTAAGTGGAAGAGCCAGATCATCAAAGTCATTGCATTTCATATACCCTAAGGTTAGCAAATTAATTCATACAGTCAATAATATTTAAATTTATTGACTTTGGAAATAATAGTTATTTGTTTCTCATTTTAGTGTAATAAGCAACAAGACTCGTTTGAATGTGGCTATTACATCATGTATTGGATGAGAGCCATAGTTTCTGCGGGTATTACTGATTCTTGGGCGCAGGTAATTCATATCAAAATTTATTTAAGTATATTTACCTTTAGGATAATTAACATTGCATATTAATGACACTTAAATTAATGTTTCAGGTCTTTCAAGATCCATCTCCATTGCCCGAAGATGAGATCATCAAGATAAGAGAACAATGGGCAACTTTTTTTCTTCAAAGTATATATTAGTTAGATTTCTAAGTTTAGTTAGTTAGATATTATGTTTCTAGTTTGATAGCATTGACAAACATATGTTTTATAGTTTTTTTAGGATAATAGGATTTACATTTTCATAATTTATGCTTTTTAAGATTTATATATTATTTTCTTTGTCATTCAATTTTGAAATATAATTTAAATTTCTATTCTGGACTGCCTAGTTTAGGTTTTATATTCTGGACTGCATGGTTTGTTTTATATTCTCGACTATATATATATATGCAGGTTTTGGGTATATCAAAAAACAACCAAAATATAAAAAAAATGCAAGAATTTACATTTTCTTGCCTCTTTTTTCCCCTTTAAAACCCCATTTTTACGTTGGGCACAAGGAATCACTAACTACATCGTCTTTTACAGGCGACGTAAATTTACGTCTCCCGTATTAACGTCGAAGCGTTTTCCGACGTAAAAGCCTCAAAATATCCGACGTTAAAGATCCTTTTTGTACTAGTGTATGTATCTTGCTTCAGTATTGAGCTACAATGTGTTGTAGTCATCTTGAGTATATTCATTCTTAGGCTTGGTAGTAGCAACATCACCTTGAGTGATAATTCTCCAAAGGTGGTATTGGGTGGACATGATAAACATCTTCATTTGATCCTTCTAATAGGAGTACTCTTCTCCATTAAAGGTAAGGGGCCTTGTGATAAAGACTCATTCTGGTAGGTACTATCTTTCAGTACTTCTCAGGATGGATCCTTTTCCTTTAGCACGATTAGATGCTCAACCCCATCAAAGGCTAAACATAAGTACAAGTAAAATGAAGAACAAGCATATGCATCAGATGATACAAGATGACAGACGAAAGGCTAACACAAGCATCCAATAAGGCCAAATCAAGAACAAGGAAAAATTACGTCAAGCACAACCTAAAACGCAACATAAAGATGCAAACAAAGGTTGGTCAAAAATCAGAAGAAAGTCAACAACACATCAAATGAAGGACAACACAAACAGATAAGCATTCTAGAAGGAATTGAAAGTCTGACCATATACTAGCTGACTAGACGAAAGAAAAAGTTAATGCGATAATAATAAATGCTCAGACAGAGGTCAAGTCTTGATCTACACATAGACTACCAAACACAGATGAAAGTTGTCACGCAATCACCTAAAGAATCAAGCTTCAAAGGACAATTTGAATATCGCCCACACTCACAGGAGAACACACGAAGTCATCAAAATTATGAGAAGAAAAGGAGAAAGGAGAAAATCAAGCGGAGAAGTAAAAGCATGTATGTGTCAGAAGAAGTACATCACTTTTTCAGACAAGGACAAAATTCTACAGCTATGTGACCAAAAAAGGACAAAAAAAAGTTCTTGGGTCTCTGCTAAACTTAGACACTGCTGCTACCAATACAAGGAATACTTCACGCAAGGTCTATCACAGGATGCAACATTTAATGCAAGAATCTGAGTATTAAATGAGAAGATCAAACTTGAAGTTAGGCATGAAACACATAGAAGGGGGGTTGAATATGTGTGTGTGAGTACGAAGGAATTTTAAAATCTTTTTCGCAAGAGTAATGTTCTTCATCCAATGCACTTTTAAA